TCTTGTTCCGAGTGCATTTATAATAAATCTGTGAATTCAAATCGAATGTTAAATTCCTTTTTTCTTTTGTGTATTTTCGGCAAAAATATTTCAAATCAGATTTCATAAAACTCATCGATGAGCCTAAATGTAGGCAATTTCTTTATAAATCTTTGCATGGAAATTGCATTGCACAGAAAACCATTTATTTCTTAAAAATAGAACCATTTTACAGAATTTTTTTTTAACTAATTGAGATTGAATCTAAGACACTAAGTTTAGTCGAAATTCCACTTGCAAGCTAATAACAACAATCGTCGCAACCCTATGACACATTCAATATGGTTAAGTGATGAACTAGCCTACGGCTAATATCAAGATAATAAATTAAAAAAAAAACTTCAACGTGTACGTATGTATTTATCAACGGATACAAACGATAGTACGACGGCGCCTTTACTCACTGATATTATTTTTTCTAAAGAAAGTGTTAGTAGCTCACAGTACTGCGCAGGTGGCAAAGTATCGAGTATGTGCTGTTCATCATTAACTAACTGCACATTCGTTTATATTAATTTGAATCATGCACATAATTCTCGAATACTACCTACCTACCGAACTCACGAATTGAATGGTAATAAAAATCAAAGAAATTGTATGAAAATGAAATGTTTTTCAAAAAATAATGATTAGGAAATGTGTAGAAAATAGTAGCTTTATTACAGTAAATTTCTTTAATATAACTTAATGGCTGTAGTGAATGAAATGCACTACAACGAGGTCGAATATTCAAAGGTATATTACATAAATAAAGAGGTAATATTACTGGTTAACAACGCTTTTGCTTTGCTCCCAACCAACTTGAAAATGTCGTCTAAGTGGTTGCAGTCAGTGTTTCTACATACAAATACTGCTGCGAATATGGCATTTTAATTTTCACACTCTGATAGATCGCGAAACGCTTCTACTCTAGTAAAATTAACTGACAAAAAACCGAAAAAGTATCGCAGTGAGACCCAAGCTCATTGGCAGCAACGTGGTGGAATCCCTAACACAGCCGCCCATTTCAAGTACCTAAACTGACGAAAAATTAAGTGGTATCTGTGTCGGTCGCGAAAGCAAACTTCCCCAAACACAGACATCGAAGTCAAATTTATAGGAAAGATTTTCTAATTATGATTGCCAACTTGATATCCAAATCGACATGGGTGAAGTGCACAATTTTCAATGCGATATTACTGAATAGGTTTTACTGTGTACCAAATGTCCAAGTTAAGGGACTGTTTTTTGGGATTCTTGAATCCCCCCCCCCTCTGCGTAGCCAATTGTCCATACACAATATTTAAAATATTTACGAGTAGTGGATAATTGTCACCCCCCCCCCCCCTCCCATAACTGTCTACGTAGTTAATGAACGGCCCCTTGGAAGCACACTTGTGAAAATATTGAAAGTACTCCAGTGGTTGCTAGATTGCAAAAAGTCTTGTCAAACGATCATTCTAATGGTCTAGGTACTCTTAAAAAGGATAACGGGAGTTTTACTTCTAATGCATCAGAAACTTTGAATTTGATGATGCAAGTACACTTTCCAGGATCTCTACCGGTCTTGAATGAAAATACGACTTCCTTAGATACACTGACTGGATCAGAGAAGACCAGCACAGAAGTTTTCGAGGATCCTCATGATATTGCAAAAATAACTGGGCAAAAAATGGCCAGGCAGGACACGCAAGATCTAGCAAGTCGGATTTTTACTCAAGCAAGAGTTGAATGGGCTGTAAATTCGTTTGAACCATTTAAATCTCCAGGAAATGATGAAATCCGTCCTGTGATGATTCAAAAAAGCAAAGGAATGCTAATTCCCTGCTTAACTGAAATGTTCAGGGCCAGTTTGCGGTTGAACCACATTCCAAAACTCTGGCGACAAATTCGTGTGGTTTTTATTCCTAAAGCTAACATAAAGGATAAAAAGAGTCCAAAATCCTTTAGACCTATTAGCCTTTCGTCATGTATGTTGAAATTAATAGAGAAATTGATTGATGATTATATTAAGTCAAAGTATTTAGATTCGATCCCATTAAATAAACAGCAATTTGCATACCAACACGGAAAATCAACAATAACAGCACTTCATACACTAGTGACAAAAATTGAAAAAAACCTTTGAAGCCAAAGAGATTATGTTAGCTGCGTTTCTAGATATTGAAGGAGCATTTGACAATGCATCTCATTATTCAATGAGGAACGTTATGATAAAACGAAATTTTGATAAAACTATCATAGATTGGATTTTTGAAATGTTGCAAAAACGAGAAATAACATGCAGTCATGGTAGTTCAACGGTCACGGTAAGGACCGTGAAGGGTTGCCCACAAGGAGGGGTTCTTTCACCTTTGCTGTGGTCACTGGTAGCCGACGAACTACTATTACATCTTGAAGCGCAAGGATTTGAAATAATTGGTTTTGCCGATGACATAGTAATCATTATTCGTGGAAAATATGAACACGTTATCAGAGATAGGTTACAATATGCTCTTAATTTAACGATGGCGTGGTGTAAAGATGAGGGGTTGTCCATAAACCCTCATAAGACTACTATTATACCATTTACACATAAAAGGAAAATAAAAATACTAGATTTGCACTTGGAGGATACTAAATTAGTCCTTTCTCAAAAGGTTAAGTATCTGGGAGTAATTCTTGATAGCAAACTCAATTGGAACTTACATTTGAATAAAATAATAAGCAAGGCTACAAATGCCCTATGGATAAGCAAAAAAACATTTGGTAATAAATGGGGACTGAAACCTAAAATGATCGATTGGATCTATAAGGCTATAATAAGACCCAGAATAACATATGCATCATTAGTTTGGTGGCCAAAAACAAAAGTTAAATATGCTCAAAAAAAACTCGAAAAGTTGCAAAGACTTGCTACAATTTCCATCACAGGAGCAATTCGTAGCACGCCCTCTAAAACGCTAGATACAATGCTAAATCTGCTTCCCTTACATATATTTGTGCAGTTAGAAGCCGAATGAAACGCACTAAGGTTAAAAAGAACAAAACAGTTTTTTGATGGGGACCTTAGGGGTCATCTCAGTATTTTGAAGGAATTTAAAATTAATTCTTTATTAACTCATGAAGACTGGATGAATAGACAGTATAACTTTGAAAGACTATTCAACGTCACTGAACCTAGTCGCACTGAATGGGAATCAGGGGGACCTAGTATTCAACCAGGATCAGTAATTTTCTACACTGATGGCTCCAAATTAAACAACAGAGTTGGCGCTGGGGTAACGGGTCCTGGTGTCAACATATCAATATCTATGGGTAAGTGGCCAACCGTATTTCAAGCAGAAATACAGGCAATTATTGAATGTGCGACGGTTTGTTTACGTCGTAATTACAAACATACAAATATATATATTTTCTCTGACAGTCAAGCTGCCCTAAAAGCATTGAGGTCAGTTACATGTTGTTCTAAACTGGTTTGGGAATGCATTCAATTACTACAGCAGGTGGCTAAAAATAGTACAGTTAACTTATTTTGGGTACCTGTTCACTGTGGGGTTGAAGGTAATGAAAAGGCAGATTTATTAGCAAGATTGGGATCATCAAAACCATTCCTAGGTCCAGAACCATTTTGTTGGGCCTCAGAATGTACCCTCAAAATGGAACTAAAAAACTGGGAAAAATCGATGATAGGGTAAATGTTGGCTTCGGCACCCATTGACTGTTTTCGGCAACCAAAATTTAAACGATAATTTCACTATGTTTTCCCATCAACACACTTCCCTGAATGTATTCAAACGATTCTGTAGTCTTTCAGCTTCAATCTGATTATATTTGTACGACCGAGCAATCCTATTATGCCAGATTTTTCTTCAAATTAAGTATACGCACTACAAAATGGGGCTGATTTCGAGTTGCCGATAATAGAACAGCTGGTTAACACGCAGTTCTAATGGGAAGGTTGCCGAAGAAAAAGAGGCTGCCGACAATAGTCACACTCACCTGAGAAGTTTGGAGCGTTGTAAAATCGCTTTCAAACCGGTTTGAAAAATTCTGTCGATTGGAATGGATAGAGAAGCAAGCAGCAGATGAATGTTAACAAACAGACACGTGATATATGTGCGTAACGCTGACAAAATGCTAATAGAAGTGCGGACGCTGCTTAGATTGACGAGAATACGTAAATTCCCCTAGATAACATTTGGAAAAACACTAAAATAGCTCGACAGTCCAAAAGATTTATATCACCTAATAAAGGAGCAACTCAAAGACTTCTTAGTCTCTCCAAAAAAGATCTATGTACTTTTAGTGGCCTAGTTACGGGCCACTGTTCAAGTAAATATTATTTAAAACAGCTAGGCAAATTGGAAGATGACAAGTGTCGATTCTGCAACCTAGAGAGTGAAAACTCGGAACATTTACTATGTAACTATGCAGCACTTTTTCATAAAAGGAAAACATTTTTCGATAAGGGTTTAATACAGCCCTCAGAAGTATGGATGACTTATCCCAGTAAGGCAATAAAGTTCATTCGTTCTATAATACCTTACTGGGACAATGCCTATAGTCAGCTAGTGGAAATCACTCAAACAAATAGTGATACAACACCCTGATGTGGCATACATTAAACCGGGGCCCGCCAAAAAAAAAAAAACGGCCCCTTATCAATTTTCTAAACCTTTCCCCCCTTCTTTTTTGGAGCGAGACATACTCAATAGATGTTCCAAAAGGTTTAATCAATTGGTGCACTTTTTTTACCAATTTCCAGCGGCGCACAATGTTCACTCTATAGAAACCGGTACTGTAAATTGTTGGGCAGCCGTCTGAGTGAGGGTGTTCCCCCGTCGCCGTAGATCGGTATAATTATTCTTGCAAAGGCATAATACCTATTCATACTTTTTGCGATACCTTCATTCTTACGCTGCATACATTCATATTTTTCCACTATATCTCGCATGAAACAAACACAAATCCGAACTCACAAACTCACTGTTCACACTCACTTTCCGACTTTGTAGGTCTCAGATGTGATGTCGCCTATACTGCTCACGGCTCACTACTACTGCTGGCTGCTTGCGGATTCAACTATCTCACCCTGCTATTGGTAAGTACTTGCACTATTTGGTTGGACCCAAACCTGCCTCCGGTGGTGGCGCTCCGACTAATGGTGACTGGTTGGCACTACTAAAGATACACACATACACAAGGCGCTCCTATGTCTATTTCTTTTCTTTGCTTCTGTTTTTACGAGAAAAATATTCACTATTGCTATTTCTTCCTCCTACTAGCCAGTTTACCTAGTTGTCTTCTTCGCAATTACACTATTTTTTGCTGCTACATTAATAGATCACTTTGGGATCTTTCACTTCTTGATTGAAAAGTTGTGTTTGCCCTACAACTTGTATTTTTCAGTAAATGCTTTTCTCAGTTCAAAATCGTTTTATCCGTCTGATCGATTTCCAATGTCTGTTTCATTCCCATGGGAACTCACTCGTTAATCTTCGTATGTGGCACCATTCCTGTCAAATATTTCCAGCGACAGAAGTCACGATTTTCCGGAAAAAAAAAATCACACCTACCAGCACTGATATCCAAACTGAAATTCACACGGAATCCGGAACTACTAATCTGTCTCATTCCAGTCCATTGTAGCACGGTGTTTCTTCCCTCGGCGACCTCATAAAAATAACTCTAGACTTTTCTTTTCACACTGTCACTCTATATCGAATATGCAAAAACCTCATTCATTAGCCAAAATCACTCAAATATACTGACTAACTTCGTCGTCGACGTCGTCTTTCTTTTCTTGCTGGCTTCGCTCGACTGCTCTGCCCATACCTACTGCGCTCTATGCAGGGACTACTTTCTGTTCGGCTGCTCTGCTGAGACTGAAATTTACCAATACCCCTCCCACTCCGAAAATACACACACGACGACTGAGGCCACAGCAGTTCTCCTTCCCGTCTTCTAATAAGCCCCAAAGACTGAACTGAACTGAACTGAACAACTGCTAGCGGTCTAAGCAGAAACAGCAAATTTCACACGTTCACCTTTACAGCACGGTTGTACTTTCATGACTATACATCGAGTGGAAGGTGCATGCAGAGGATCTACGCCTTCCTTGCTTCGCTACATACTTTACTCTACGCTACTACTCACTCGCTACTCTAGGCGATGCGATGATGATGGTAGACCAGAAGCAGACCGTCATCGTATACCAAGGTACCTTAAAGAGAAGGTAACTTATATCAAATTTTTCGCACATCTGTGGTCTGGGCACCAACACATCATGTGGTATGGAATTATGCAAGATTTTATTAATTTCCAGAGCTTTTGTGAAAAATGTTCAAACATTTGTTGGGCATTTGAAAGATTGGACTTTTCCAAACCTGCTGTAAAGCCGATAATTAATGATAATTTCAATCAATCAAGCAAATCCAATTTGGAGACATTTTGGAACATATGCCTAGCAAATAAAAAAAATCTAATTTGTGTTAAATTCTTCGAAACGTAATGTCTTAAGCTTTTTAACTACGGTCACATATAAACGCAAACTAATGTTCATGCTAGATTAACATGCAATAATAGCTGAATACCTAAAACGAAAAACTTTTCCAATTTCCTTTCATTTAGCAAAACTGCTCTAATCTCATAAATTTGCACAAAATCTTCAACATTATTTTTTGCTTCTACGCACCACTACGTCAACATTGTAGCGAATATTATACCTGTGCTTTAATATACTTTGATCGGTGAGAGCGAAGAACAACGCGTGAGATGCGAGCTGCTGCTACTACGGCGAACAGGGTGGAAAAATATGTGTATTTTATACGAGAAACAAACCATAGAAGGGGCCAGTACCAATACTAGAAGTCGGGGCAACTAGAGAATTCACGAACACCATTGCCTCGGCGTTCAAGTGTATTACAAAGCCGAAACAGTCCCGAGTAAAACGTTTTATGAGGTAAAAAAAAACAAATCAGTTCGATCGAAATTCACAAAAAATAGAGTGTTAAATAACACGATTCGACCGACGATTTCTACTGTTCATAATAACATCGCTCTAATTATTGATATGCTTCAAGGAGGATTACATTGTATTAAGCAGTCGAATTTTTGAGTATTAGAAATCGAAAAAAAGTACCGACTTCAACAGTTCCACTTAGTAACTTCGTTGGTACATGATCAATTCGATTGCATTTGAATGCCAAATATGAGAACTAACTTAAACCGTCTATGCCTATGTTACTATTGATTTCGTTTTAATAAACCTTCTCGAAGGGTCCTATTGAAAGTTATAGACGCATAAACCATGGAATAAGAAAAGTCAAATGGCATATTTTGAATTGAAACAACAATTCAGTACTGAGATGGAGAAGGGCCTAACAGATTTGGTAAACAATGACTTATCTCGATGATTTATAGGAATTTTAGAAACGCTCATGCAACCCAACATAACCATCGGGTAGGGGAAGCCTGGTGATGTTGGTTTACGTGGGCGTCTTAACTTTCTATAAATTATCTAGAGAAGTCATTGTTTACAAAAGCTGATGGACCCTTTTTTGCAGCCCTCCATTAAATTGTTCTACTACCGATTCTCCCGGCGAGCATAAGGCTATATATAACCTGCTCAAGAGAAACCACGGAGGAAAAGCTGTCATATAGTTTATTTAAATCAACAATGATATGGGGCAACCCAGTTGCTCCAGAACGACCAATACAATCAAAAGTCCTTGTCGAGACCATAGATGATAAGGTGGTTAAAAATAACGCTTTTGCTACACCAAGCTCAATCGATTCTAAATCAGGTCCTGATAATTCTCCCAAAATTTGAGCTCAATTGAATTCGATCTCATACTGCTCTTTAAAGTTTATTCGGAAATTACTATAGGAATAGTTCAACTTATTGTTCTGAGCAGTTCCACGCCAAATGACGAATCGGAAAAAACTCATCATTCTCCGATTTGCATGAAACTTTGCATAATTGTGTGGGCAATCATTCACATTTTTACAATAATTCTGCCATTTTGATATTGTATTTTCTTAATAAATTGTAGCACGAAAACGTCACTTCTGATAAAGTTTTTCATAGAAAAATATTTAGGTAATTTTGAGAGCAATTAAAAAAAAGGCGTTATATCAAATATATTAAAAAGTTTATCTTCAATTTAAAATAAATTAAACACATGAAAATAGCAAACTTCTGGCCTATATTTAACATTATGGATTCTTGAAAATTGACAAAAATCGTTGAACTAGAACTTTTAGTAATTTTTTTTTTGAAGTTTTGCTAGTATGTTTTTTTATGTAATTTCTACACAGGAAAATATATTCGAGACATCCTAAATTGTTATCAGTACACAAATTATATAAAAAAGCTTGTCAACAGGCCTGAACATACTCATTACAGCTAAAATACTACTTTTCGAAATTATGAAACTATGAGATATTATAATAATAATTTGTACATGTAAGATGCAAGTAGAGGAGGTAAAGTTTGTGTATGGCACATAAGATCTGTCAATTTCGCTTCCAGAGTGTCACAATTAGCGATTAGCTATAACGAATAGTACTCACTCATGACGATTGCTCATTACAGCTAAAATAGCTAATTGTGACCTTCTGGAAGAAAAAATATGATCCAACTATGTACATACGTAACTGCGATGCGGATATGGTTTGAGGCCCCACAACATGCATAGAAACCTCCCCTATCATCCGAGTTCATCGGAGGACAATGAAGCAACCAGGAAAGCCACGTAGCAGCAGTCTTGATCAAGCAGCCATTCACCGGTCCAAGGTACGACCATTAACACCAGTAGGACCAATAAGCAGGAACGGTACAGGCAGGACGATTACAGCCAAGAGCCCTCGGCTTGGGTATTCACGAGGTCGGAACTAGTGATTCAAATTGATTTCAAGGTCTTCACGGTCGTAGAGCCTTCATCATGACATTACCAAACAAACGCAACGCAAATCAAGGTCGCGGCAGTTCAGTCGTTAAACACTGAATGTATCCTTTTTACAGACTCATGGTGATTGGAGACGCGTAAATCCTCTCTTTCCTCATTAGGACGACCACCTCCCAACCGATAGCTATCGGTTGAGAGTTTTTTGTGTGCTGAATCCATACCATGGTTCAGACAATTATTTGGCTTATATTCGTTACCTGTAAGATCTAACAGTTTAACTCAACGCCTATACTGCTTAAGATCATATGAATGTTCACCGTAGTGGGTGACGCTTTGGAAAACAAACAAGAACTGAGTCGAACACATTCTGGCCAAGTATACGTTGGCATTCTGATCATTCGTTTTGAGCAAAACATACTGCTGTTTTGGTGTTGGTTTAGTATAAAGTATGAAGCTCTACATTTGGAGAGCTAAGAGGGTTTCACACTCAAGTTTTGTTAAATTTCAAGTATTCGTCTTGATCAGCCCAGTCTCCGACGCACTTTTAGAAGAAGTGAAGTTTTGATGAAAAAATTCACCACCGTGTAGGGCTTCTTTTCTCATACACAGTTTTGCTCACGTGGTGCTGGTGGAGCGACTCGATTCCGGACGTCACCGATTAGGGCGAGCTGAATCCGGCATCGGAACGGCAGAAGCGATACGTCGGCCACAGTCAAGGGTGCGAGGCGCATATCTTGTCGGCATACGAGACGAACGAACCAAAGTGCATGACCGTGTGGTGGCAGCTTCGGGAAGGCTTCTATCCACGGCAGCCCGCGGCAATGGCTACAGGTAGCGATCAGTGAGTGCACTAGTGTTAAGAGTTAACATTATGACTTAGTTTAAGCGCATACAAGGGCAACCCTCAGTAAACCACACGTATGAGTGAACATCGAATATAGAAAAGATCATGAGCTAAGAAATTTGTTAACTAATTCATTATTTGATTATGGGAAGAGCTAACATTGGGATTTATGTGTCATAAACAAACTTTACCTCCTCTTCTTGCATATAAATTATTATTATAATATCTCATAGTTTCATAATTTCGAAAAGTAGTATTTTAGCTATAATGAGTATGTTCAGGCCTGCTTGTCAACAAGTTTAAAAATATGCCCAAACGATGGTGTTCTACTATTTTGTCCTTAGTTTTAAATACTTCAAAAGTTTACATTTTTCATGAGCTTTATTTAAAATAAATATATAAATAAAGAAGATAGGAGATACTCATTTTTAACATTTTTTTACTCAAAATTACTTTAAAAAAAATACCGTGTATATTTTTCCTAGAAAGACTAGGAACTCTGTCTCAGAAGTGACGATTTTGTGCTACAATTTATTGAATAATGTCAAAGACGCTATTTAAAAAAAAAACAAGATCCCATAGCCCATAACACACAATTATGCAAAGTTTCATGCAAATCGGAGAAGGTCGAGTCATAATTTTAATTTTATTTTCTATTTGGCTTGGAACTGGTCTTCTTTTTATCTTAGCTTTTCGCCATAACAATTTAATTGATTGATTGATTTATCTTTATTACTGGTAAGCTTGTTATCTGCACTTAGATAAATTTTTCTAAACTACAGCTTTCCTGAGGACCACTATTACATAATCAAAACAACGACTGAGAAGAAGTTGTAAATATACACTGAAAGAAATATCACTATAAAATCATGTTCAAAAGTTAAATCGTTATAGCTGAAGATATACCCTTAAATTTGGTGCAGAGTGGAGGATATATTTTTCCTTGATTTGTATTCCGTCAATCTTGTATTCCGTGCTGAGCACCAATGCTATCGATGCCAGGGAGGCAGCTCCCACACCTGGACCCTACATATCGACCCATTAACTCATGGCCGGGGACCAACGGCCTTACTTTCCGGCGTGATCAGAAATGTTATGCCTCAGAAAATCCCGGCGGCGCCGACAGGGATGGAACCCAGGCCCTTTGGGGTGAGAGGCATTATTGGTGCAAAAGTGGGTGTGGTAATTATTATATTTCAAAGTAGTAATGAGGGTAATGAAAATTAGTTTTTCCATACATGTATGGAATGCATGCAATGTACATCCAACTAATGAACTTTAATGTTGAAATTACAGTACAGTTTTTCAGCCTAGCAATTAAAGTAATTAAAGTTCTTAAAACAGTAGTTTACAGAATTTAATTACTGTGCATAACTACCTTAGAGTAAATGGTCATTGCGTGTCCTAGGTC